CTGTGCACCAGTATCCAGATGTCAAGTATGGGAAGCGTATGCATGTTCTGCTGATAGATGATACTATTGAAGGGGTTACTGGGAATCTGTTGGATGCATACCTGAAACGTGTGTTTTCCAACCTCTTTGTTTAAATGTTTGTTGTATTTTGATGGCTTTCTTTTGTTGTCATTGTTGATATTGGTTGGTTATTTTTTTGCTGCTGCCCTGCCATCTTGTATGGTATAAAAACAAATATGCTACAAAAAATGGAAAGGGTGACTGACTTTGAGGACTGTTTCATTGTTCACTACCTTACTTTTTTTCTTGTCCTTTGTCAATGTTATTTTTGCAGCTTATTTCTTGGAGGCTTATCGCCCTGTGAGGAACAATGATCTCTTCTTTGTCAGAGGAGGGATGAGAACTGTGGAGTTTAAGGTCATTGAGACTGATCCGGAGGAGTATTGTGTGGTTGCACCAGACACTGAAATATGTTGTGAGGGGGAACCTGTTGGAAGAGAGGATGAAGATAGATTGGATGAAGGTGGTTATGATGATGTGGGCGGTGTTAGGAGGCAAATGGCTTGGATTCATGAGTTAGTGGAGTTGCCTCTAAGGTATCCTAAACTTTTTAAATCAATTGGTGTTGAACTGCCTAGAGGAATTCTACTTTATGGACCCCCACATTCTGGAAAGGCTATTAATAGCCAGACGCTAATGAAATTGGTGCTTTCTTCTTCTGTATTAATGGTCCGGAGGTTATGTCCAAATTGGCTGGAGAAAGTGAAAGCAATCACAGGAAGGCTTTTGAAGAAGCTGAGAAGAATGGTCCATCCATCATCTTTATTGATGAGATTGATTCAATTGCTCCAAAGAGGGATTGATTCAATTGCTCCAAAGAGGGAGAAGACCCATGATGAAGTTGGGAGGAGGATTCTCTCACAGCTTCTGACTTAAATGGATGGACTAAAATCATGGTCCCCTGTTATTGTTATTGGGGTTACTAATTGACGAAATAGCATAGATCCTGCTTTGAGGGGGTTTGGTAGGTTTGATAGAAAGATCAATATTGGTGTTCCAGTTGAAGTTGGTCCTCTTGAGGTTCTTTGCATCCTTATGAAGATTATGATGCTTTCTGATGATGTGAGTTCAATAACCATGCTATTGACTTCTTGAGTGCTTGATTTTAGCAAATGAAAATACTTAGTTCATGATGATATTTGGGTGAGTTTATGAACTTGGAACTGACCGCCTGAAACAATGTGTGGTGAGAATGTAATTATATAGTCCCAAGATCATGTGGATCTGATTCTTCTGACCTGGTTTTGATTGTTTTGGGCCATTGGCTGGGGTTTGGGTGTTCTCCATTTCATGTTTTCCTTCTTTCTTTTCCTTGGTCAAATTGGAATTCTTTCTCTACAGGTGGATCGAGAAAGGATTGCAAGTGACACTCCTGGTTATGTTTTTGCTGACCTTGCCACTTTATGTACTGAAGCTGCATTTCAGTACATCAGAGAAAAGATAGATGTCATTGACTTGGATGATGAATCCATTGATGCAGAGATACTTAATTCAATGGCAGTTGCTAGTGAGCACTTTCAAACTGCTCTTGAAACAAGCAACCCCTCTGCTCTGCGTGAAACAGTGAGTTATTTGATTTCCTTTGGACTCCCATTGGGGTTTAGGATTTGTACAATTCCACTCCAAGTGACATGTTTCTTCTCTATCTTACTCATTGCTTGCCTTTTGGTTTTCCAGGTGGTTGAAGTGCCTAATGTCACCTGGGAGGACATTGGAGGCCTTCACAACATTAAGAGGGAACTTCAAGAGGTGATTTTCATTGCTTCATTGCATTGGTGTTTATCTTTCTTGTAATTTCTGCACGCCTTTTTCTAATATTCATTTTTTTTTGGGTACCCTTTACTGGGTTTTGTAGACTGTCCAATATCCTGTGGAGCACCCAGAGAAGTTTGAGAAATTTGACATGTCACCTTCAAAGGGAGTGCTTTTCTATGGGCCTCCCAGGATGTGGAAAAACTCTCCTGGCTAAGGCTATTGCAAGTGAGTGCCAAGCAAACTTTATCAGTGTCAAAAGGCCCTGAACTGCTGACTGTGTGGTTTGGTGAGAGTGAGGCCAATGTTAGAGAAATATTTGACAAGGCTCAGCACTCTGCACCATTTGTGCTTTTCTTTTATGAGCTTGATTCCATTGCTACTCAGGTTGTACTTCTATTTCACTAGCTTTTATTTTTCTTTTTAATAATTTTTATATTTCACTTATTCCATAATACTTTACTATAACTGTGGCAGAGGGGAAGCGGTGTTGTTGATGCTGGTTGTGCAGCTGATCGGGTTCTAAATCAACTCCTTGCTGAAATGGATGGCATTACTGCAAAAAAGACTGCTTTCATAATTGGGGCCATGGGCCACCAATAGGCCTGACATAATTGATCCAGGCATCCAGCACTCTTGCAGCCTGGGCGTCTTGACCAGTTGATCTATATTCCTCTTCCAGATGAGGAATCACGATATCGGATCTTCAAAGCCTGTTTGAGAAAATCGCCTGTTGCTAAGGACGTTGATTTGAGAGCACTGGCCAGGTATACTCAAGGTTTTAGTGGTGCTGATATTACTGAGATTTGCCAGCAAGCATGCAAGTCTGCCATTAGAGAGAAGATTGAGAAGGTAAGCTTCTGCTTGTATAGGTTGTTTAAGTTTTATGTATATCTATACTGCCTTTTTAAGTTGTTGCAGAAGTAACTTCAAAACAAACATGGTATTGCTGTAGGACATAGAGAGGGAGAGAAGGAGAAGGGAGAATCCTGAAGTCATGGATGAGGATGTTGAGGATGAAGTCGCAGAGATTAAGGCTGCTCATTTTGAATAGTCCATGAAGTTTGCCCCTAGAAGTGTCAGTGTGCAAATACCAGGCATTTGCACAGACCTTGCAGCAGTCTCGGGGTTTTAGAATTGAATTTAGGTTTCTAGAGACTGGCACCAGCACCACAGCCACCGCATCTGATCCATTTTCAACTTCTGCTGGTGGTGCTGACAAAGATTATCTGTATAGTTAAATCAAGTTCGCTAAACATCTGTCTTTAGTGTAATGAAATTTTTTCTACTCTTCCTATCTGGTATGATTTATGCCATTTGGGATTTGAGTTTGACAAATTAATCTTCAGCTTAGAGTCCTCTTCTTACGGTCAGTTTGGGTTGGAGGATTTGGAAGGAAAGGAGAGCCCTCCCTCTCCTTTAAAGTCAAAGATTATTTGTGCAACACCACCAAGAGCGGCATGCGCAATGAAATAAATTGTAATTACAAGTCTTCCATATCTCCCAAAATCTTGTAATTAACACCATATAGATAGGTAAAAGCCAACATTTTTTGTGCTCAATACTTCCATCCACTCTTTCAATAAGAAGATGCAATTGTCTTGGTTTGAATCACTCTCCGTGTATGCTGTACCATTATTTTTAAATTGATCAAATCGAAATCCTGAAAAAAGGACGAGGTTTGCAGAAATCAGCCCCAATTCGCCATTAATTCGGCATTGGCAAGTAGGCCCTGCTTCTCTGCTTATCTCACGAGCTTCTCAAGGAGCCCCTGCTGTGAAACTCCCGACATGTCCCATTAATAATATTGCTGGGTTGCTTTCATGCAAATCTTTGTCATTTTGGGTTATCCCCTTTTTGAAATATCATCCTGAAGAAATCACTGCTTTTGTTTTCCGATGTTCAGGAACGGATGCAGATTCTTACCGTGTCTTTTATTAAGGGCTGGATCAATACGTTCTTTGTAGCAATCTTAAACAATTCTTTTTTTGGCAATGAATAATTATGCATCCATCATTCAGAAGTATACTTAAGAATAAGTAGTCAAAATTATTAATATTATAGAAAAGAAAACATACATCAAACGCCCCAAAAAACTGGGAAAAAAAAAATACAAAAATATATAGTTCTTATATTCCAAACTTCACCTCATAATTTATCCATTCTTATCATCTCAAACATCCAGCAATCACGGTTTTGTTGGGTCAGGCTTGGAAGTGCAGGAGCCAAGAGGTTGATAATTAACATAGCGGCTCGGAGCTGATGAATGCTTATAACCTTTGGGAAGGCAGCCCTCCACTTCTCTGTCACGAAAAACCTGATGCCTATGAGTCACCTCCGTATTCATCTTCACATAATCTACGGATGCAGGCCTCATCGTGCTTGGAACACTAGATGGGATGTCACGGATAGCCATAGAAACATGTAATGAGGAAGACAACAATAGGACTAGAAAGAAGGGGAACAATGAGGCAGACATTTTACTAGAGTATGTGTCTTTGGCTCTGTTTCTTCTTTTGTTTTTTTTTTTTGGCTTGAGGATGCAGAGGTTTTGAAGGGGTTTTAAGGGGGGAGAGCCTGTAAAGAGGTGGGAAACCGGCCTTAAATTAAATGGCCTCGTGAGTAGCTGAATAAAAGCAGATATGTACACGGCATATTGCAAGCATAACATTATTTCTGGAGGTGAGTTGTTGGGGTGGGTGTCTTTTTCGTTTTTCTTCACTGTGGTGTATATGAGATGCCCGTGATTTCTGTCGTTGCCATCAAGGAAAAATCTCTTGCATTTTCCTCCAAAATCAAGAGCAGGTGAAGTTTTTCCTTCATATTTTAATATCATCAAAGAAGCACAAGCAAGTTGTTAAGGAAATTATTTTCCTCTTCAACCCTAGACATGAGAATGACAGGGACCATAAATCCAGGAATAAGCCATTGAGGCTTCTGCTGTCTTGATTTACATCTTTTATTTCAGTGATTAAAACCTTGGTTAGTGTTATATTTTTGCAGGAAATCCAAATACAGACCAGTGAAAAGCTGAAAAATCTTTAAAGTCAACCTAATAATATCTTCTCTTTTCTTCTTTCACAAGTGGCATACACCAGTTAGGTCAACCAGGGCAAATGTAGGTGAAGGGTGAATCCAAGATGACCTACTCAATATTTCTATTTCTAACATCATGATTTAACCTGCCAGCCACCATTTTTTTTTTTCTAATAATTATTGCCAATTTTTCAGCTCCAACCAACATCAATGTATTTTTATGCATGCCGCGTGGCATAAATCCAAAAGCTTCATGGAGAACTCATAGTCATAAAGATGGAAATGGGAAATCTCTGCACAATGCCAGCTAAGTTGGTTTGATGGGTTCCATTACTGAATTGATAACTATGGGGTTTCTGTAAAAGTAGTCCCCTTTTTAAAATGGGGTCTCTGAAGCAGCTCCCTTTTTTAATGGCCTTTCGGCGAAAGTCTTAATTGAATATAATAGGTGAAGATGAGGATTGGTCTAAGGTAGAGAAAATGTCATGAATTCAATTTAAACACCTAAACTTTAATTTGTAGAAGTTGATATCTCAACTAATTGTAAATTTTTTTATGTTGCAAAATTGGAGACATTATAAAGTTTTCCTGCTTCTCCATCCTAAGTTTAATGCAAACTTGAGAATTTATTGCCTTAAAACATAAGTATTCATTAAGATGTGAACTGTTCACTTGCAATGAATAACCCCAAATTCATTTAATGGTTGTTATTCCCACTCCCCCCCCCCCCCCCCCCCCCAAAACAGAGCTTTCTATTACTCAAATTAATACCATAAAATGAGAGTATTATTAGAACATACTTCAAACTTAAGTAGTTAATGGTTAGGATACACTCCCCAATGCCATATTAAAGTAATTTTTGAACAAGGATAAGTGTCGAACCTTGGCTGGGTGAATGGAATACCAGTTGTGTGACCATCTCCACTTAATGCTAAGTTCCATGGGACAAAAATTTTTAGAACATCAAAGTTTCAAAATTTTCCATAATGAACGAGTATTTTGTAATCCGATTATTGGATTAAGAAGGCCTTGATAATAGAGGAGAAGCTCTTATTTAATAACTTGCATTTTACTGTTTTAATTACAAAACACCGACGCTTTCCCTGAAATATGTTAGTATTTGTCCCTTTTTATTTTGGTCATCAAATATGATGGTATTTGTGATATTGTGTTTGATCCTAAAGGGCTTATTTGAAAATTTGCACTTTAGCACGGATAAGAGTTCAGAGAGAACTTGTGACTCAAACAGTTTATTTTGTTGCTCACAAGCGGGAGCGGACAAAGGCCTCAGTTTTCAAATGGATCTCGCTGTTCATTCTGCAGGGCTAGGGTTAGCATCTTTCTCAAAGAGTAAGAGCTGGATTCTAACTCCTCTTTGATTTGGACAATTACATGTTTAAACCTTTCTTTTCTTATGTCGCTTCGGTCTTTATTGCGAATATAAAGTTCCAAGCTTTATGAAATTTAACTGAGGGTAGTTGTTGATGATGAAACGCAGCGTAATCATCAAAAGAATTTAAAACCCATTAAAAGCTAGATGGGAATTACTATGTTTTTCAGGATGATTTATAAAAGTGGGTAGCTTGTGTTTCCCATTAAAAGCAAGATGGGAATTACCACGTTTTTGAGGATCATTTACGAAAGTGGGTTGCTTGTGTTTTTGGTTAAACCCACCATACACCATTGATTGTAACATTTATGAAGAAGGTCCATGTCAATAAGGCAAAGATGGTTGCTTGTTTTTTGTTTTCCAAAACAATTATGGTTCTTGTTGTGGGTAGTGAAGGGAATTAGGGAAATGCAACAATGGGGACATCCAGAGTTAATGTTAGTTGGATGTTTTTTGGGTTTGAGATCACTTCTTTAATGCTTTGTGTCTGTTGGTGGTTTAGAACTTGCTACCTCTGGTCATTAAAGCATTAAGTCTTCTGAATTTTGGAAGTTGAAGTTCTTGCCCTAGGTAAGTGAATTTCGTGGTTTCATTATTGAGAAAATTTTGGGGTTTGGTGATGATTTATCCACATTTTAGAAAGGCCCCATTTTGTTGATTTAATCAGTGTCCGGTTAAACCCATTGCTGGAATTAGATTGCAATTACCTAATTTATGTAAAGGATACTTGTGAGTCTTCATTTTGGCCTATTTTTGTTTGTTTTGATCTGGGAGGCATACATTGTTGGAATTCGTACATACCTGTTTCTCTCTCTCATACATTCTGTCACCACATCCACAGCATATGGAGATCTCTACTACCAGATAACATGTTCTGATTCAATAGCCTTGTCTAGCTTTCTGACACCACAACTAGATTTCTATTCCTTTCTGAAGCATTATCATTAAAGAAGGAAATCTTAATGAGATGAAAGGAAATCACCTACTATTTGAAATTGGAAAATCTACCAATATTCACCATCACCTTAATCCTACACTAATTTATCTGTATGTTGTAATTTTCTTCAAGTAGAGTCCTTACCAACAGTGTCAATGTCACAACCTGAAATCTTCTACCGAGACAAGTCTTGTTAGGGAGTTTAGCTCTGATTTTCTCCATGTTCTTTGGTGAAACATGAATTTATTTCTGATTATATGGCTTCTACTCTAATAACCTAATTGCTTGAGTTAATCAGTAAGGACTGCTATTAAGTTGCATTCTTAGTTACTTTCTGTATGCATTATCTCATTCATGGTAATTGATTTAAACTTCATTTGAGACTTGAGAGTTAATGATGGGTGATAATTTTGAGTTCCTAAGATAATTTATAGCATATTTCAGTTTTATGGTTTGTGTAAACCCCATTATATTAGAAAGATATGTTATACTCTTTGAATGCAAGTTACATAAGATGATAGACTGCCATTGAATTGGAGGGGGCATTTGCTGATCCTTACTTGTGATGCCATGAAGTATCTGGAGACTCCAGACAAAGAGTCCAGAGTTTACTTGAACCTAAGGCTTGCCCCTTTGTTGATTTAAAATTAAAAGATAGAGGAAGAATGTTATCTGTAGAGTCCTCTGCTCTGCCTGAAAATGCTGCTTCAGTGGCCATTGCTGCAACTGTGGTGGGTGCAGCAGCTACCCTTCTTGTTCGGAGAACTAAAGCTTCCAATACAACTGAGGTTTGTTTCATTCTTAAGGACATTAAGAAATGTTACTGTTTTTAGAAAGGCTGTTGAAAAATTAGGAAATTTTTTACTTTCCTTAACTACTTCTTAGCCAAAAATCTAAGTGAAATAATTTCTTGAATTGCAGATTCCTTCGAAACCATGTGAAGATTGTGGGGGCTCTGGTATATGTCCTGATTGTAAAGGTGAAGGATTTGTGCTTAAGAAATTGTCAGAAGGAAGTGCTGAAAGGGCAAGACTGACAGCAAAGAATATGGCTACTCGATATACAGCAGGGTAAATATTCTTACAAAATGCCTCTTCCTCTCCCTCCACACATATGTTTGTGAGTGTACATTTGGCCTTACTGAGCTTAATCATTTCAGACTACCAAAAAAATGGAGCTATTGCACTAAGTGCTCTTCTACACGATCTTGCATTACTTGTGGTGGGCGTGGAAAGTTAAACTACTAGTCACTATTTTAGTGTATGAGATGAAATTTTTTCCAACATTGATAGTTCTATCAATTTCTGCTAAGAATATCAGAAGTGAGTTACTATCTCTCACGTCGTTAACCTGAACACTGGTGTATGTATTTTTTATTGTCATTTTTAACTGTCTTTGAGATGCAATTGTACAGTTGAAACTTGAAACCTCATGGTCTGTTCTTTTTTCTTCAGGTATATATGAGAAGTTGGCTTTGAGAGCACTCTACTATCTTTCTCTCCTTAGCCTGATTTATCTAGTAGTTTATCTTAATTAATTTAGTTTAGTACGTAGGCAAAGCCAAGTTAACTTCTGACTTTCAGGAAGTATTAAGAATCTCCATAATGTTAAATGAATCCTTCCAATCCAATAATGCCATCTTGGTAGCTAAGTTGAACTGTGACAACCATGTATGGTATCCAAGTCAACCAATAATTCAGTTAAGAAATCAAAAGAAATTTAGAAACTTAGGAAATTATGTTCTTGCAGATATCATCCTTGAGATTCTTCATCAACAACAGAACCCAGAATCTAAATGCAAAAGAATATCCTTCATTACAACATAACTCAAGAACCCTAGATTTTATATGGAATCATAAGGTTCTAATTCATCATTAAAGTACAGAACAAACATTTTTAAGTCTCAATGTGTGAGAACGAAATTCTCTTTGGATGTATTTGATTCATGTGAACAGAAATGCATAAGCATGCAGAATCATGTAAGACTGTTTCTTGAATCTGAGTTTGATTTGCAGCAAAAAAGTAATACATGACCAAAACACCTTCGTATAAGCCGGTTTAATCTTCTTGTTGTCATTTGATTTATACGAAAGGACCATATATAAATCATTGTTCAGGTGGAAGCTACATTTGAAATTGACATGAATGATGTTAACAAATAAAAAAGCTTTAAAGTTGGAGTTCACCCTTAATTTTTTTTTGGAAGGCAAAAAATTTATTTATTTAGAGTACAAGAGATACTCTAATCCATATACATCAATTAGGCATGCCACGTATTATTAAAGTGGCCTATTTCATTGCTGACTTAAAGAAAATTGAGTGTTTTTGCTTTTATTAATCAACATAAACCCTCCAATTACCCCTTTCTCATCCTACTACCCAACAATGATTTACTACAATCACCTGGTTTGTCACACCAGTCTGTGAAAGAGACATTCAAGTCTTCACCTCTTCCATTAATCCAATGAAAAGCCTTTGCTTGAAGTTGCTCAAAACCATGATCCACACTTGCCACGGTTCCTTTAAAAACTTGCTCATTTCTGCTTAGCCAAATAGTCCATAACATCACGAACCAAATGACTTCCCAGTACCTTCTTAGTTTCTTGCCCTTTCCACTCCAGGCATGAGTTCACCCGTAAAATTGCAGAACCAGATAAAATTGCACGTCTCCATTTTATATTGCTCTCTATGTCCATAAGTTTCAAAATCAAAGACAAGTGAAGTAGCTAATTTCTTCCTTATAAAATTCATGTCAGGGAATTATTTTAGTTTCTTCACATCATATTAACATTAGTTTTTTCGATTCCTTCGAATCATATGATGCCATGTCTTGATGACTCCTCCCCTGGAAGATGCCTCAACCATTACCTGAGATCTGCAAATTCGTCAATATTTGAATCTTTACTTCATTACCTTTATTGCCAACAAAAAAAGATCCCTCTATATCATTCCATATATTGAAATTATTAGCTACATCCATATATTGAAATTATTAGCTACATTCATATCTATATTTGCTTCTAAAACAACTAAGTTTTGAGCAAATGAAAATACAAACACACCCAGTTTTTCCTAGTCGAGTATGAGTGATAACACCAAACACACATACGAATCATATTATACAAACTTGTATCATTGATATTATTACTCCGTAACCTAACAAGGGCGCGGTTTAGGACTAAACGTGAGTGGGTGTTGCATTTGGTGGGGTTGGGGCGGAGGCAACACGACGGCCACGCTCGGACCGGCTGTTCTCCGCGAACTTGAGACTTCCCTGATGCAGCCCTTTCTGTTTCTCCTCCTCATCCCATTCAGAACCATAGTAGTACTCTTCAGTGCCCTTGATTCCGTCCTTTGAAGGAGGGAAGAACATGCTGCCCCACTGGGGGAAGTGCACCAGTGTAACCGGAAGTGTGCAGGCAACAATCATCACCCCCATCCACGTTAGCCCTTGGTCGGTGGAGAATCTTGAAGTCGAGAAGAATATCAACTGGGTCAGGCCCGACCCGAAATTCCCACCGGCCCCGGTCATGCCCGATATGATTCCCAATGACCGGCGTGAAATAAATGGGATGATGCCAAAAGTTGCTCCGCAGGCCGCTTGAGCTCCAACGGAGAATAGGATCATTGCCAGGATGGCTAACGGAAGTGAATTGGCGCGGCCGAGCCAGATGCAGAAGCAACCTCCAAGGGTTTGGAGGATCCATAGAGTCCATAGCCTTCCTCTCATACCAAAAAACCTGGCAGCTGTATCCGAAGCAAAACCGCCGAAGGGACGGGCGACAATGTTGGCCATGCCAAAACTTGCCGCTATTACGCCGGCGGTGTGGAGTTTAAGATTAAACCTGTCGTAGAAGTACTCGGCGATGACATTATCGGTGGATAGCTCCACTCCCATGGAGTAACCATAGAGAAGGACAAAGATCCAGGTTCTGTAATTTGTGATAGCATACCAGAGAACCTGAAATTAATTACACCGCTTGTTAGCAAAAATCATAAAACGGAAAACAGAAAGGAAAATGATGGTTAGTCCAAAATCCCCATAATCACATGACATTTAGTTGCATACCTTAGAGAATTGATCTTTGGCTACGTCTCCCTTCTTCTGTAAGGTACTGCGATTTCCATCAGGCAAGTCTTGGCCAAGGGTCAAGACCAAAATCCCCATGATCACATGCAACCACCCCGGGATGTAAAAGGCAATCCTCCAGGCGGTGAACGGAGTTGCTCCTGCTCGCTGGATAATTTCATAAACTAAAGGCATCAGAAGTTGAGTAGCACCTCCACCCATGTTACCCCATCCTGCAGAAGTCCCATTTACAAGACCAATAATCTTGCTGTTGAACATGGTACTCATCCAGTACTGGCACGATACAAATGTCGCCAGAGAAAATCCGATCATGAAGCGGACGGCTATATAACCACCGGCGTTGGACACGAATGGCATGCAGAACACTGTAGGAGCGGATAACATGATTAAAAAGGCACATCCGTACCGTGGCCCCAACATGTCACAAACTGCACCCATTGCAAGCCTGGAGAAAATACTACCAGAAACAGAGGCCACCCCTGCATTCCCAATGTCCTGTTTGGTTAAATTAAGGTTGTCACGGATGATTGGAACAAGGGGGGCAGCGGCAAAGGTGGAGAGGAAGCAGGTGAAGAAGGAAATCCAGGACAAATGAAAGGTTCTCATGTGGGGGTTGGCAAAAGAAAACAACTTGAAAACTGTGGCTTTGTGCTCTGAATCCACAGGAAGATCAAAGTGAGCGGTGGTATCCGTTGGGACCTTGACGGAGAGGGACATGACCGGCTCCCGGCCAGTGACACCATGCATGGAAGTTCCAGGAGATCCTTCAATGTCAGTCATTTTGGATGTCTCCTGAAAGTGGTAGAAAAATATTAATGTAGAGAAAATCAGGAAAGCTGCACGCTGTCTCTGCTTCTTCTTTGCTGAATCTGCTTTGAATTTATATGGATCAGCATTGACATTGGAAGGAGCCCGTCGAGATTCCGAACAGTTAAAAGATGATAGAAAATTAGCAAAATGGAATCCTCTTCGCCGCATCAAAGAGCCTCCTTGTATATCCCAAAAGATCAAACATGGTGCTTAATTACTACACTAACCTCACTTTATTAACAATAAACTTGAGTGATTAACAGAAGAATAGAGTATTCTTTTGAGGGTATTGTTGGGTATTGAAATTTACTGTTGGGGCCAAATTGAATAAAGAATTAATTATGGGGACAACATGGTTTTATAAAATAATGAACGAAACTCAAGTATTATGTTTTACATGTATTTCTTGGGGAGCTGTTATCTGCATTAATATTTAATAATCTCCGCATTTACACATCTCTGGGTTCTTTTTTAACTCATTGTCATAATTCAACTATTATGGGATTTTGGTTAAGATTGATGTTTTCGTATAGTAAGAAAATAATTCACACACAATTTTGTTTAACAGTAAGAATTTCACAATGCATTTACGTAATAGTAATAATTATAAGAGAAAAGTAAAAATTAAGAATTTTTGACACTTTAAATATTAAAACTTTTAATAAAATTGTTCAAGTATTCTTAATAAATCTTTTTTATGTCTTAATTCATTAAAAGTATTTTAATCATTTCATTATTATTTCTAACATTTTAATTGTTAATATCCCAAAAAATCTCATTAACAAGTAATAGGTAAAAAGATGTGCGACATGTAAAACGGCGTGCGACATGGAGGCATGGGTCGATGCTGCCTTTGTGAACAAAGTCAATTTAGACATGGTGGCATATAAACTTGGTGGCCCACCTAGAATTCCTTACATTAATCTCTAATTTGGCAAGTAAGGCGTGTCTTTTCACTTCTTTAAAGTTGCAACTTAATAAAGTAATAACAATATAAAATCTGCAACAAATTAATTAACTAATCTATTGGTGTTGTAGATTATACTTTTAAAAATTTGTAACAAGTAAACAACTTTTTAGATATTGTGAAAACAGTTACTTAATTTTATCGAGAGAGATTTACATCAATCAAAATAACTTTTCAACAAATGAAATGCCTAATGCTCATAATCATGTTCTTAGTGCTGGCTAGATGCAATTCAATAAGCAGCAGGAAAAGAGATATCCTAATTTTTCTCTATCCCTAATTATTGATAGAAAAAATAAAGAGAAGAAAAATATAAAGATATATGAAGAAAGAAACTCTTTCTTTCTTAATTTCACTGAATATACAATGTGCTTATTTATAAGTCTGTACAAGATAATATTTTATAGTACAAAATCAATTCACCTAATTATATCAACCAATTATAATGTGAATCCAATCAACATAATTATAATATGAATATTCTGTAATATCTCTCCTCAAACTCAAGGTGGTGGTGAGGTGGTGATGAGGAGGCCAGTTTGAGTTTGGAAAGAAGAGTGTGGAAGCATTCAGGAAAGTGAGTTTTTAGTGAAAAGATTTGCATACTGAATATGCAGATTGGTGCAGTCGACGTCGCTAGAAGAGAAGGAGGCAATATTAGATCTGGGCAACAGTAATGTCGAAAGTTCAATTGCGAGAAATTAAAGCAAAATTAGCGATAGGAAATTAAGAGCAAAATCAATGACAATTGGATGCGAGAAGGTTGGAGCAACATTGGCCGTGGGAGTAATATGTATTGCTGGCACAACAAAGGAATAGGATCAAGAAAACTCAATTGCAAATAAATCCAAGAAAGAAAGTAAAGATGATGATCGACACCACCTACGAGCGAAGCAGCAACTCACAAAGGAGATAAATAGTAATAGTAAAAAAAAAGCCTCAAAGCTTTGATACCATAGAAAAAATAAAGAAAAGAAAAATATAAAGAGATATGAAGAAAGAAATTTTTTCTTTTTTAATTTCACTGAATATACAAAGTGCTTATTTATAAGTCTGTACAAGATAATATTCTATGGTACAAAATCAATTAACCTAATTATATCAATCAATTATAATGTAAATCCAATTAATATAATTATAATATGAATATTATGTAATAATTATAATTGATTTTTTTTTTTACTTGAAAAACATCAATTGATGTACATTCTTCGTTAATGACATACTGCTCTGTTAAAGAAGAAACTTTGGTTGATCAATATCTTGACAAAATTGGGTGTTGCGCGCTTAAACTTTCCAAGCATACTAATGCTAATTAAGAACAAAACAATGTATACTCTCAACCTGAAGGTCCTGAACTATTACTGGTTAGCTTATAATTAATTAGAAAAAGAAATGCACGCCTCATTTTCTTGCGACTTGCAAACATCTGAGAGCCAATAATGATGTGTAGAAACGAACGACCAATGTACCATAGGGCTCACTCTCAGGTCAAACCATTCATTTTTCCTCAATGAACAAAACTGGAATAACTATATTATAGAACTGTTTTTTCTCCTAATTATTTAATTAATCTACCTGATAGATGGAGACAAAAACTATATGAAATATGGATTCTTACCCTTTCAGAAGCTCTGGGAGTTCTTGAGGTGCATTTTTTCTTTTTCTTTTTTTATACCTAAACAATGTCATTCCATCAACTTGTCTAAGGCCACCAAAAAAGGATGTCAATTAATCTTGGGCAAAAACTTACTTTTAGCTCTTTATCTTATTTAAAATTGTAAATTTTAACCCCTACCTTATATTATGATACTTTCAAACCCCTCACCTATTAGAATTAAAGAAAATAAACCTTACTTATAACATTTTGTTAGTTCTATTAGTTGATTATTAACTCTATTAGTTGACTACTAGCTGATTGTTAATTGGCAAAAACTTAGCTAATAGAGTTAAGAATTAGTTTTTTTTTTTTTTTTTGAACGGCTAGAGTTAAGAATTAGTTAACAAAATATTAACTCTATTAGCTGACTATTAATTGATTGTTAATTGGTAAAAATCTACTTTTAACTAATAGAGTTAATAATTAATTAACAGAGTTAACAGTCAGTTAACAGAACTAACAAAATATTATAAAATGAGGATTATTTTATTCAATTCTTATATGTGAAGGGCTAAAAGTGTTATAATATAAGGTGAGAAAGTAAAACCTACAAATCTAATAAAGTAACAAAAAACTAAAAGTAGGTTTTTACTACTAATCTTGGAGGTTGTTCACTATAACAATTTAAAACTAATTAATAGTTGTTTTGTCTAATCTAATAGTTAATTATTATTACCATTAATTCAAATATTTTTATTTATTAAATTAAATAAAACCATGAACTACTAATTTCGAACAACTACATCAAATAGGCCCTGGTTTATGGTTGAAATTTGGTGGAAATTATGGTTTGAAAAGTGTTTTTGAATTGTTTATGGGCCGAAGGTATGCATGTATAACTTATATTATGAGTCTCCTAATATCTTTTATAAGAGCTCGACTGTATTAATTATAATGCAAAAAATTCCAGAACCCTTCATAACTAAAATAAGATCATTGTCGATACAGATAGAACAAATGCTAATCTTAAATTTACCAAAAAAAAAAATTAAAACCCCCATAAGAATCTAAATTGCGTGCTATGAATTACTGGGAAGTTCCAGGCTCAAGTTCTACTGAAGTTGGAATAGGCCATGCAAACTTGATACTTTGGAAAAATCTTATACGACTATATTATTGGGAAGGTCATCCTTGGCTGTCTAACAATAAATATTCCATCTGCTAATTTCGTATTTGGGACTTACCACATCTAATTCCATCACAAAAGTATCACATCTGGTCCTAGTAATCAAATGGTCTTTACTCTATTCACATTAACTCCCTCTTCTAGGAACTGGCTTGTATAGCACAACAGTAACATATTTGGAATGAAAGCGGTGAGTGAACCCAAGTGCCACTACAGATCTTGGTGCCTCTCGGTTTTCAATACATAAATGATTTAGAATCACATTCTGCGGCAATGGAAGACTTCCAGAATTTTCCCTGCTTGCTGGATGGCTAAGCAAGGTATTTTGCAGGTGTGGAGGGGCAACTGGTGGGTCACGTGCCTCATCTTCACTCCCAGGGTAGACATTGTTGTAACTTGAATCGGGTGATCTTGGAACTTCAAAGCCCATGACAGTCACTTCATCCTGTTCAATGATCAGATGTTTTAGTATCTCCTTGGTTTTCTAGAGTCAAAATGGTCAGAGAGTAGATGGCTTACATGAACTTGCCCATACTGGTTGTTGTTCATGCTGAAATGAGATGCAAGAGGCTGAATTGCTGAAAGGGCAAATTGAAAAGGAACAAAATATCACAACACAAGTACAGCTGGAATAAAACAACCATTTCTCTTGTAACCATCTTATAATAGTGACGGTATATTTCAAAATGAGAAAAGGAACTAACATAAAAGGTATGTCCATGAGGATCTGAAGTGAACAAAGTATCATCAAAACTAATTATCTAAATAAGACCAACGCTTTATTATATCTCAGCATCCAAATTTGTGAAAGTTCACCAAGATACACATGGCCAAGAGGGCCCTGTCTAGTTCACCTCAAAACTTGTATGTTTATGCCTGTTTGAGGAGTTGAATCACTTCCTAACATACAAGATCAGTTAGAAACAAAGACCACCATACCATGCCAACCCTCATCAATGCAACAAATCTTGTTTAATCAGTTTGTCTCTAAAATTTATGGGGCTGACTAATTTCTAGGCAAAACACTATGTTAAGCCCCCAAGGTTACCCTAAATTCTCAATTAAGCCCCTAAACTTTTATTGAAGTAAATAAGCTCCTAAACCTAGTAATCTGGGCAATTTAACCCTCTTTCTTTATGGCAAACTTAATGCCCGTTTCTGTCTCGCTTGCATGGACAAGATATTGACATGTCATTGCTCACATGGTGGGTATTGATCTTGTCCATGCAAGCAAGGTGCGAATGGGTGTTAAAGTCCGTAAGGAAAATGGTTAAATTGTTCAAATTGCCAAGTTCAAAGGCTTATTTGCTTCAATAAAAGTCTAAGAGCTTAATTGAGAATCTGGGGTAAGTTCAGGGGTTAATAATAAGGTTTTGCCTAATTTCTATATTACTATTAGTTTCCCTGTTGATACTTGTTTCCAAATTGGTCATGGTTTTCCTCTTAATATTTTTACACGATGGCTAAAATCAGTTAGTCTACTTAAATTATTGAAGAAAAGGTACAGCACCTGTTAGCTCCTTGAGGGGCTCTAGTAAAATAGCACATTTGGGCGTATGATGCTCCATAGACCTGATGCCTTAGACCTCTCTATCTTTTCTTGTTTTCTAGATTCTAGCCACTAATTTATTTGATATTCAACCTCCCAAAAACCAGATCCAAAATCCTAGTTTAATGTAACCTGAGAAAAATCATATTGATAGTGCACCATATTGTATTATTGTTCAAGGTTCCAACAACTGATTCCAAAATGAGTCCTGGCATTCCAAACTTTCTCAATATCCTTTCTTACATTAGTAATTAATCTAGATCCTAACCTGAAGACATCCAGAAAAAGAAAAACAATCTAACCTGAAAAGAAAATCATATATTAAGCTGCACTGCAATCACAATGCTTGATCATGTAGTTCTATATGTAATGAAAGTAAGAAAAGATTGCAAAAGTAGCAGGGCCTCTTTCTCAAACACGAGGAAGCAAAATAACTCAGCTGTAACAACAAAGAGTGTACTTTTCCTTTGATAAGGTAAGAACAAAGAGTTGAAACCAGATAGTTGACAAAAGGAAATATAAACTAGGCAGAGAAACAAATTGAACCAGCATTAATGTCTCCAAAAAACTTTCATGAGAATAATCCACAACAGGCACTACAATTAATAAGACGATAACTAACACAAAGCATCTGCTCAAGCAATGGCTATCCTAACGATTTATGACTTTTCAGAACTTGTATTTCATTTAACTATACTCCATATAGCATGACTAGCTTAATTGATACCATTATCTGAGCATAAAAAAAATGAAAAAAATTCTTCTTCTCTAGATGAATGGATATTCCTTTCCAATTCAGTTCGGAATGTAATGTGCAAGCAAATCCACATGATTCAGTGACACACCAGTCCAAATCCAAACACAACATGCTCCCAAAACAATCATTTTTAGTGCACCCCTCCATTTAATAACGGATTACTACAACCGCAAAAATTTGGAAATGCCAAAGATTTTATCTTTCAAACCATAATGGTGGAAATATTAATCTCCTTGGAATCCACAATGTAAACTCTCTTTAAGAACCCAGAATTTAGAGGGGATTGAACCACCAAGAAAACTACTTGAGCTAAAAACATTCTACAGAAAACCCAGAAAGAAACGAAATCATTTAGCTTAATTTGTTGAACTACATGAAGCCACCTACTGACCTGATAGAATCAAGAGCTATGACTCAATCTCTTGGATTAACAATGCACAGCTTCTGAGTGTCACTCTCCCCTTGAATAATGACTTTGACTGTAAAAATTGATTAGTTTCGAAGCTTATCTGGAAAAACAAAAGAAACCCAAATGAAATCCAATGCAACCCATCACATAATTCAGGAGCTGGAAAAGTACTCAGCAATCAAAACCCTTTCTTTCAATCTCGAACCAAAAAAGGAAAAAAGAAAAAACAAATTGATAAGAGAGAACACACTGAACACCTTGGAAAATTAAATTCAGTTCAATTACTGAAACAAATAATGGGACTGCAAGAAATCAGAAAAACAAATGAGAACAGGAAAATCAACAAAAGCCTTACCTTTGATAAAAGGATAGAATATTTCCGACACAAAATTGAGGGAAAAGATATATAATTGAAGAAGAGGCAAATTAATGGAATCTATTCGTTGGGGAATCCGCCGAGAGAATCTCCCTTCAAAAATTGTTGGAATAAAGTTAAAAAAAAAAAAAAAAAAGAGGCAAAAAAACAAGAAAAGAAAGAAGGTAAGAAGAAGAATCAAAGGATGTGCAGTAACAGTTTTTTTTTCTCCAAGACTTTAAAATTCAAGACGACAGGCAAAATGAAACTTCTTAGTTCTTACTGCTTTGGTTTCGGTTAATACCTGTACTCCGGAAGTACCCTTTCCCTTGAGCTTAACATATGGTCTAATAAATTGACATGCGCCTCGTTTT